GTATGTTCATCTCCATAACGTGAAACAATAACATAAACAGCACCACGAATATTTGGATCAATTAAATCTCCATTAATATGACATTGAAAACGTTTTTTAGCTTCATCTATAATTGCTTGATCACCTGATTTACCCATGATACTTAAAATCATTGGACGTAACATAGCAACAAGTGGATTTTCATTCTCTTTTGCATCCCAACCAAGTTTTTGTTGTATTGATGAAAAAAGATTTAAACGATATTTTTTAAATTGATCAAAATAATCTGTATATTCAATTAGCGATGATAAACCACCCATTGTTGATGCTAAAAAAAATAAGAAAACAAAAAGAAAACGAATTAATTTTGTTTTATTTTTCATAATATTTTACCGATTGATTTCCAAACAGTAAAATTATCTTCATCTTTATATGATAATAATAATTTAAGATAATCAACAAATGATTGGTGGCCAGCATTACATAAAGCAGCAACATCATCTTGAATTATAAGACGATCTTGTGGACTAAGTGTTTTATTAGCTATTGGTTCATTTAAACGTAGTAAAGTTTTTGATTCATATTTAACACGATAAAGACCAATAGAATTATAATTTAATTTAATCCAATCATTTTCAGAAATATTATCTAATGTTATTGCTATTTCAGATTGCTCCATTAATATTTGTTTTGCAATTACTTTTGGATTTGATTTTGTAAAAATTGTTATAGGAATTTTCCATTGAAGATTTTCATCATCAACACTACCATCAGCAATAAAACGTTGTTGTTTTAATTTGACAATACGTGTTTGGTTTGGTTGTTGTTCTTCAGTTACAATTACCAATGGATAACCCTAGATAATAGAATAGATAATGGTTTTTTATTTGTACAATATAATGATCTAGTAATCTTTGTTTTTAAGTTGATCGAAATGTCGCGTATCACTTAAGATGGAATATTTTCAAACGAAATATCTTGTACAAATTTATATTTTGCCTTTGAATAGAACATGCTAGGACAAATAGAATGCTAAAAGGTTTCATATCTGCGACTTATTCATGTAGAATTATGATCACTGTATTCGATATTTGTGAAAGATTGTCTTCTAAACTGTTAACATGAAATTTGATTTATAAATAGAGATCGAAGTCATGAGAACAGGTTGAAAATTTCGGTTAAATTGATTCTTTTTTTCTTGGCGAGATATTGACTATCTAAGTAGTGATTCGATTTCATAGGAAGATGCTTAGAATCGACTTTTCTCGTGTATTCAAGATCTATTTTTGGATAAAATCGTAGGTTAACAGTTCAGAAGATGATCTTTTATAAATATCATTGTCAAAAGACGAAAATCTAATAAAATAATTACAATTCTATATGATCAGAACGTGAACACAAATCCTTTTAGATTTCTTCTAGTCTCGTCAAATTCTATTCACAGATAAGATCTAAGTCTGATTGACGAGTTACACTTAAAAGTATACTACTATTGGTGTTTAAATTGTTGTTTTGAAAATGTAAACATAATTGTTAATCATGCAATCAATCAAATTTGTGAAATTATACTATATAAGTAGATATGCGAAATGAAGTTCAATATCATTATCATAAAAATCTAAATTCAAGAAAGAAAATACTAAAGTTAAACGATTCTTTAGATCTCATCTAGTAACATCATAAACAGAATATCAAATTCAGTTTATCGCTTAATATTAGCATGAAAATTGAGTTGAGTACATTATTCTACTTCATATATGAATGTTTCTTCAAAATCAATGACAAAATAGATCTAACAATTCAAAACTTTCTCTGAAATAAATTTTCTCAATAAAAATATTTTCTTTTATACATAATATATTTTATAATAAAGTAACAAAGACTTCAACATACCATTTGCAGTGTCCATGATGACATAACTTCATTAACCGGCTTTTTAGATGCTTTAGACAAATGTGACCAAAGATTTACAGTAACTGTATTTTTATAACTATATTCTTTTAGATAATTATGAAGACCTTTTCGAAAAGCATCATCACCAATATAATCATGTAACATACGAATTACTGAAGAACCTTTTGAATATGAAATGTCATCGAATATTTCATCAATTTCAGCGGGATGTCCTAAAAAGAAAAATATTATGCATTGAAAGAAAAAAAAATTTCTAAAACATATTTACCAATAGGTACTTCGATTGGATGTGATGATTTTAATGCATCAGGTACAAGAAATCTTGCAAATGTATCAGCAACAAATTGTGTCCAAATATCGAATTCTGGATAACATTTATCAACAGCTAAATATTCAATCCATGAAGCAAATCCTTCATTAAGCCCTAAAATAAATAAATAAAAATAAAATATTCTTCTCATTTTGTTTTTCTTACATAAATCAGTCCACCAATCCATTGTCTATATATAACAAAAGCAATATTTATTCTAAATAGGTTTTTTCAAAAAATAGAATTACATACAACTAAATTTCCAAACCATTGATGTGCAAGTTCATGAGCAACAACAATAGCAACACGTTGACGTGAATCCATAGATGAAAATTTTGGATCAATTAAAAGAGCTGTTTCACGATAAGTAACTAACTAAATAATAAACACACAAATAAGTACGAATTAATCTAAGTTTAAATATTAACTTACACCCCAATTTTCCATAGCTCTAGAAAAGAAAACAATGAATGAATTAAAATTTTTTCTATCGACTTTTTGAAATCTTTTCTTACCCCATAGCAAAATCTGATATAGCAATTTGATCTGCTTTAGCTATTGGATATTCAATATTAAAATATTCAGCATAAAATGGTAAAACTTTTGAAGCAATATCTAATGCAAAATGACCATGTTCTTTTTTGCCTACTGGTGTATAAACTCTCATACTAACACCATTGGAATCTTTAGTTTCAACATAATCATATTCACCAACAACATAAGCAACTAAATATGTACTCATTATTGGTGTTCGATCAAATTTTGTTATTTTCCATTCTTTATTATCAGGATATTCATTTTCAGATTTTATTGGCTAGAATAACAAAAACAAAACAACTTTCTAATTTTAACAATAGAAAATATAGTAGATTGAAAGTTTTTAGTATTTGAATCTAAAATAATTTTCTAGATCAATTATTATTGTAGTGTTTAAAAAAACAAGCTGTTTGTACAATTTGTGCGGGATTAAAATATGAAACACGATGTAGATTCTCTTGCTAATCACAAGAAGATTGTCGTATTCTGTCTATTTTGGGAGAGTATGACTGAGTGAGGATAAACGCACTGTGGATCTTATCATCGAAAACGACATCATCATCAAACGATTTTCGATTGCCTCTATTTATAACCTTCGTTTCGCCAGCCATTCCTTACGTTCACACTTTTTGAATATTTATCATATATATATACTACAGGTGTCATTTTACAATATTACTGAAATACAAATCACCGAATTTCAATGAAGAGCATACTAACCGATAAAAGTAGAGATCAAAGCTAGCTGGCTCCGGATTCGAAAATATTGGACTTGACGGGTTCTAGTAAGAGTAATCGTAACATTACGTGATGGGAATGGCACGAATAGTCGCTGTCATTGTATCTGGGAAAATACTAGTATCAGTGAAATAACATTTTTCAGGTTTTTTAACAATTTTCAAGTATGAATACAACTAAATCACAGATTTCTATTCTTTATCAAAAAATCAGAAATTCTCATTTCTAAAAGAACATCTCACTCATATAAAGTGTATTATCATTCATAATAATTAATTAATCCTTGAAATATATCAGTCAGTTAAATTTGATATGATCTTTTCAGACTTATTTTACAAAAATTCAATTAAATATACAAACCATATTTGATATAGCTCGAAGATTTTTTGGTGTAATTAATGTAATATCAAATGTTGCTTTAAAATTCGGTTCATCCCAACATGGAAATGCTCGTCGACAATCAGCTGGCTATAAAAATCAAAATAAAATAAAGCAAAACATAAACGAAGAATATTTTTACTTCAAATTGTGTACTAGCACCATAACGAACTTCTTTTCCATCCGGTGTCGTATATTTATTTCGATAGAAACCTTGCATACGGTCATTGATACTACCAATAAATTTCAAGGATAATTCACATTCACCTTTCTATTATAAATGTAAACCATAGAAATAAAGTCATATAGAAAAACAGTATCGAAATTTATATACTTCAAGTTGTTTATTAAAAGTGATTTTAACACGTTCATTCTCTTGATCCATTTCAATTACACCCTGTAATTCATCTATAAAAAAAACTCGATATTATTTTGAATTCAGTACTAAAAACAATCAGATTTACCTTTCGAATTGAATGTTATTTTTGCTTGATCGATTTGTAGCTCAGTTGCATACAATATTACAGTATCAGTTGGTTGATTAACCTAAAATATAAAAAATTTTCTTTTTTATTGAGTTAGGGCTTCTTTTTAATCCAAACACAAACCTGTAAATGAATAATTACATTTCCATTAAATTTTAATGTATCAAGAAATGGTTGAATTGTTAAATCATAATGTGTTGGTACAACTATTTGTGGTAAACGCTCGAACAGTTTCTTAGTATCTTGATCACTCATCGTTTTTATTCACTGCTAATTAATGTAGGTAGTCGAAATAAAACTAATGCATGACAACTTCAACGATTGATTAAATAAGAGTATAATCATCAAATGAAAACTTAATATTATTTTTTTATTTTATTTTATTTAAATCAAAATCAAAATCAAAAATTAATTTTTGAATTCTTTCAAAGCGACAAAAATGAATATATTTGTCTAGATTAGATGGCGCAAATAGACGAAGTATTAAAAAGAACGTCATAGAATTGCTAAGCAACATTAACAAGTAAAAATTCCAAATGGGCTATTCCTAGATGGGTTTAAAATAAAGACCATTAAAAAAAAATGTTGTCTTATGATCGAATATTTAAAAATAAAATTGAATTCATTTAGTTTTCTTTAGAAAGAAAATTTCTTGTAAAATGTTGTCGGAGACTAATGGTGAACCAAGCCCACCAGCACCACAAAAACGTAATACCAATAATAATTCAGGTAAAAAGTCTATGAATTGATATGTTTAAAATAGAAAAAAACTCCATTATTTCAGATAGTGAATCTGATGTTAATAGTGATCATTTAATTGGTAATGTACAACGTGTTGCTATTGTGCCTCCAACTTATGAAGGAAAACCAAAGAAAGGACATTTAATTTTTGATTCTTCATTCGAATGTGGTATGAGTTATTAATACCAATATTTCGAAATAATAAAGCTTATGAATTTATTTTTATTTACAAAAAGGAAATTTGGGTCGAATTGATTATGTCAATGATAATGAATACGATTTATTCATTCGACCTGATACATGTTGTCCTCGATTTCGTTGTTGGTTTTTATTTACGGTTGAAAATGTTAAAGCAAATCAAGTTTGTATATATATATATAGTTGAACAAAATGTTCAATGTATAATTAAAATTTTTTATGCTAAAAATTAGTATAACGAGAGGTTTTTATTAATGAAAAGATCTTTGAAGTCTTTCTTTTTTTTTTTTTTTTAATTAAAAGATTTCAAAAAGCTCCTGTGAAAGAAAATGAATTTCGTATTTGTTTTGATTAGTTTTCAGCAGAAATCAGTCCGCGATATATTTGACGTAGATATCAAAGAAACTAAAAGAATAAGCATTACCGGTGAGTTTTTTATTTTTATAGGCATTAGGCTCCGATAACATTAAAAAAAATCGAAAGAATTCTTTAATTATTCTATCATTTTTGCTTTGATGAATATATATGAACTCAAATATGTAATCATTNTGATTAATGTGCAAGAGATTTCTCTAGTGGTCGCTATTTATTCAGTTTGAAAAGTTCTGTCGAGTGGTATATGAAGAATTACTTCAACCAAATCTCATGTGTCTTCATCACTCGAAAAATCAATGAGTAATACTCAATTTTCATTTAACATAACCTTGATCGGCAACGAAATAACGAATAAAATATACTAATAAGCTGTTTTAATAGATTTGTTTTTGCTTATAATAATTGGTGGTGCTACATTGAATTCTCTATCTAATAAGATCAATTTGGAATGAGAACAATATTGTTGTAGAAAGCTATTAGCAAGTTATCTGACGATATCGATGACACTTTCGACGATGGGGAATTAAGATTAGTCTTTCTGACCTTTACTATCTTAGACATTATCAATCCGATCTGAAATTACTACAGAATAACAGATCCAGTGTAAATCTTTGCATCGAATCATTTATACATATTAATAATCTAAGTACTGGACAGATTTATGCTTTTATATAGGCTCCCATCCTGTGTCAGTACATGCTATAGAGCTATGTCTAAAAAGATTCGATAATTAGCGGCAAGAAGTTGCATTTGAATACTTGATAGTAGTACCATAATGATTTATATGAAATTTCAATTTATTAGAAATTTTTTTCATGTGACTTGTAGAGAATAATGTTCTATTATGGGCAACACTTTTGAAAATACTTCAGGTCGATTCACTAAATTATTATTGTGTTAATCACTTCAATGAGCGAAAGATAGTTGTTTCGTTATCCTGAATATTCATAAAAATAATCATCGGCATTCTGGAGAGGATTGATGAATACGGATTGAAATTAATACGTTAGATATCTGGAACAAACTACTGAAAGAAATACAGAATCAGCTAATGTTCATAGTGTTTTCTTTTTAGAGTTATGAAGTTCGAAGGGTAATAGACATTTCCTATAACGATTCCTCATAATTCTTGTTATACTTAAGCAATCATGATCAACTCATGTCTTTTACTTACATTTTTGACAGAGTATATGGCAAACAACCTCCAGTATGCATGATAGCCAAGATTTGAATGGGTAGAGAGTTTTGCCTATTACTATACATAATTTTTAATTTATATTTTTTTAAAAGAAAACAAGATGAACACCAGAAAAAATGTTCGGATTTTTAAGAAATTATCCAATGAATAAGTTACTATCTCATTCAACTCTTTAAATTTCACTGGATTCAGAGACTTTTAAGGATCTACTCTCTCTTTTTAGAGTTTCTGTGGAACCACTCATCAAAAAAAATTGAAATTTTCAGGACGGATTAATCTCGATCGATAGAGTAAAAATTGTCATAGACTGAAAATTTTCACACCCCACCTTCTTTCAGATACTGAGATCACAATAGCGAAAAATGGCCCTGTGTTACTCCGAGATACCACATTTAATCGAGTTGAAGATTTTCTTACAGGCACCAGACACTACTTGAGATGTGTGTCTTTTTTTTCTTTGTTCTTAGAATTAAAACGCCAAAATATTGGAAGTACTTTAAAAACTGCATGTGTTTGTTAATAGAGCTTTTTTTTATAAGAGTTACCAAAAATCAGCAGAACATGTTTTTTGAAACAATAAAGTAACCATCTTAAACAGTGGATAGAATATAGATTTAACAAATTTCATCTTGATCAGGCATACTCTAGGTTGAAGAAACGAGGGTGTTATTGCACTTTTTTCAATGATAAAATTGATTTGAGTAAGAAAAACGAAACAATGTATAATTTTTGCTATTTCTATTTCCTAAAAAGCTTTTCTATCGTTCATAACTTTTCTGAGCGAGCTTTTGAAATAGTTTTGATTTTCTAGTGTTGTAGACAATTCTATTTTCTACCAACTTACAGTAAACTCGAATGAAAAGCTATAAACCATATTCGAACAGTTATTTTATAAATGAGACAACATTTTTTCTTTGAAAATATCTTTTGTTTGAATTTTGGTATATAGTATGCAATAGATTCGATCTCTTGTAGTAGTATATAAAAAGAGAAGCAAATCGGGCATTTAGTAGACTAAATCTCAAATAGATGTAAAATTCTGTAGAGACATCATTTTTTCGCCATCATCAAACGTTTCAAATGAGAAAAATATTCTAGTTAAAAAACGTATGAAATTCTGCATCTTGTTGATTACTAGTGATCTCTCCTGTGGCTTATGGTAAGCGTCGTAGGTCTCTCTCTGCTTTCTTTCAGATATACAGAATGATATCTAATTAATAATAAACGAAGAGAAGTTTATGAAAATATATTTTACAAAAAATATGATTCAACTACGAGAAGTTAGAGATTGTAGATAAGAAGGAATTCGGTGCGTCGATTTCACATAAAAACATGTATCAATGACGACTATGAGCAACCCTTCTTAGAGAACATTTTAGTTATCTTATCTATCTTATTGTACACAAAAGTAAAAAGTTGAGTATCGTCAAAATGTTTAGATAAAATCTTATGTCAATAAACCAAAGTCTTTTCTATAGAAAGTTCTTTTTTGATTATTAATGTCATCATTCTTGATTATTGTTATAATTATCTATCCAATTTAGAATATAGACGAATGAAGATTCTGTTTCTTTTTCTGCAACATCATCTGGAATAAATCTTTTTCTTTTTCCTTAGAAATATATAATTTGATGTAGATAGAGATGATATTTTATTTTTCTGGTTAATATTTTTATTTAAATCAGCTGAAATATTTAATTTATTATCAAAAAAATAAAATCTATAGAATAATCTAACAAATCTCAATAGATTTTCATGTGTTTATTCATAAAACTAAATACATTGAAATTTTTATTTTTATTTTAGGACGAAACAATTATTCGCTCCATGAATAAACTTAAATCAGGCATATGTTTATAATCATCATTTATTTTTTCTTTCCTTCTTATGTTCAAAAACAAAAAAACCAAACGCACACACACACACACAAAAATATTTGTATACACACAAGTGACAATACACATGGTGTTCACAATAATAATAAAAAAAAACAAAACAAAACAAAAGGCCAGGCTCTATTTAGTACGAGATCGTATTTAAAAAGAAAAGAAAAAAAAAGAAGATTTTACTTGTTTATCCCTGAGAGAGAAGCCTAAATAGCATAGAAACTGCATAGGTTATATCTCAATACTTTAGCATGAGTCCTAATTTGAGTAAAATGTGTTTTTTTTAAAGATAATAAAATCAATATTTATATATATATATTAAATATGTAACTCCTTATTTCTTTTATCGAAAAGAAAAAAAAAAACACAACAAATATCGTGAATTCGCCAAACATCTGCCTGTTTTGTAGAGTCGTCGATCAATTGGTCGGTCAAAAAAAAACGAAAAAAAGAAAGCAAACAACTATTAAAATTTAAAAGAATAATGCAAAGTAGCAGAAAAAAGCCAAAAAGAAAAAGAAAATTGAAAAAAAATGGCACAACTCTCTGATCGATAGATAGATTAGAAAGAAGGATGTTAAGAGATAGTACGTGTCACTGTTTTCTCCATATGGTCATTGTACCTTTTCTTACGAACACTGTTATTCATGAGTGACTGAGAGAGAAAAAAAAAACAAACGAAATTGATGTTTGAAACAACAAATAAAAAAACTGTACAAATATCCCTTTAAACAAGTATGAATAAAGAGAACTAGAGAATAATGTCGGACCTGAGTGATAAAAGAAAAAAAAACACACACGTGTGTATAATGATTAAATAGTAAAATTAATTATTCGATTGTAAACCATTGAGCATTTCGCCAAGTAAACAACCATCAAGAAGTTTTCCATCATGTTTACGATCAATTAATTGTAAAAATTTCTTTAAATCATTTCCAATTAGACGTACATCGGGTAATTTTAATAAAATACAAGCAAATTTTTCTTGTTCATTTGTTGGTGCTTGTTGTTGTTGTGATGGAGATCGATTTGTTGAATTTGATATGGATGGATTATTATGATCTGTTGTATATTCACCTAAAGCATTTGTGATTTTTTCTTGGACTTCTTCGATTAAACTCGATTCAGTTACACCTTGAACATCTAAATAGAAAACAAAAATGATTTTTTCAACTATTCAACATTGTTCATTTTACAGAGGATAAGAATTTTCTTGTATTGAACTAAGGAATAGTTCTGAGTTTCTATGGTTATATCATTAAGAAATTCTTCAAGACTTTGTTTGTTAACTGGTCAGTTTTATCTCATCGAACTGCTTATAGAACCTAACAATTTGATTTTAACGAAATAAAAATAAACGCTTAAGCTTTCCTCAACATCCTATGCAACTGAACACATTTTATTACTGAAAAATAATTAACGCTACACTCAGGGCAACTATTTAGACCGCCGGAAACGTTGATAAAAACGCTATATTGCTGCATTAACTTTCGCCATGATCCCTGCAGATGTTTTACGGGTCATTG